TATAGACACACCAATAGAAAGTAAAAATTTTATCAACTCAACAGCAGAGTTAAAAGTAATTTTAATCCCTTCATAGGTTTCCACGATATAAACATTTTACTTTTATCATTTAAATAAGTTACCTTGACGGTTATTGATGGAATTTAACCACTTTTCAAAATATGGCAAAAGTTCTGTTTTAAGACAGTTAAAACGATAGTCGTCAACAGAAGAAAATGAGACTAAGAATGGCTTTGACTTTTAAATTGATTCCATAGGATTACTAATATTCATAATATCAAAAAAACTGTCAATCATTGAGCAAAAGTTAGCTGTGGCAAAAGCATCTGAAGATCCATAGTTAAGAAGGACTTTACTCACAGTATTGCATAAAACTTGAGCTGCCAATTTGACGTTCATAATAGAATAAGATGATAATTTTATGTGATCATATGATAATTTTGGAAGTAGATGTAAACCACATGTTTGGTCTTCTTTAAAAATGTCTGCTATGTGAATCCATAGAATGTATAAACCATTATTACACATGTATTACATGTATTACATGTGGAATAATGGTTTATACATTCTATGGATTCACATAGCAGACATTTTTAAAGAAGACCAAACATGTGGTTTACATCTACTTCCAAAATTATCATATTATCACATAAAATTATCATCTTATTCTATTATGAACGTCAAATTGGCAGCTCAAGTTTTATGCAATACTGTGAGTAAAGTCCTTCTTAACTATGGATCTTATACATGATGTATCTAGTACATTTACCAGAGCCAGAGCTATAAATACAGTTTCTTGTTGTCTTAAGAAGATGTGGGGGGTCAGATATAAAGTAAATATAACTTTCAGGACAATATATAGTAATGGTTTTATACGTGACATCTACATCTTTTTTATCATTAAAATTAGATAAACGTAAAAGCATTTTAAAAAATTATGGGTTAGGAGCAGCACCATCGCAAGTTGTTACTATAACTTTTAACTTACATTCCAGTTCACATAAAGCAACAGCTTTCCTAAATAATGGAAAAATTTGGGTTAATGATATTCCAAGTGTGGCAAAATTAGCTAGTGAATATTCAAGAATATTCAATAAAATAATGTTTTTAACTGATTTGTTATAATTAGAATATATCTCATGCTTATCTGGTAAGTTCCAATCAAAAGATCGTAACGTAAATAATAGGCTAGGTTGAATACAGTGGCGGATTTAGTATAGGGCGTGGGGGGGGGGGGGCGAGCTGTCCCCCCCACGCCCCCCTAGAACGGTCTAACGGCGCCCCCTAAAACAATTAAAATATATATATATATATATATAAGATTAAATTACTGAAGGCAACCCGGTCGCCCCTATTTATTGACTGGCCCCCCCGCGACGCTAAACCTCAATCCGCCACTGGTTGAATATATACTTCATATTGGGGTTGTAGGTGAATATTATCTAATTTGAAAACTTTAACTAAATCTTTTGATATAACAAATTTCCATGGTTTCAACATAAGGGTGCTGACACAATCTACAAATTCTGAAAACGATTTGTAAAAAGAATGTATATCATTTTGTACTTTGTTGATTTCACAGCAATCTTTTTTCAACTCAATAATTAAAGTTGGAAGTTTTGATATTGCTAAGGAACTAAAAAAAAGGAAAAAGAAAACTACTTTTAAATGAAAAAAAAAAAATTAAAAAATAGATCTTTTTAAAATTTTTACCTAGATGTTTGAACACTCCTTTTTGGCAAATTTTTTGAAGGTAAAGATCCTGGTAAAAGTCTTGCTCTAGCTGAATTTATAAAAAAAAGTTATTTCAATATTTTTGAAACAATGAACTAATAATAGACTTATTTAAAATAATATTTATAAATGCTATCAGAAATATAAACATATAAATATATATATATATATACATATATATATATATATATATATATATATATATATATATATATATATATATATATATATATATATATATATATATATATATATATATATATATATATATATATATATATACCTTAAAGAAGGCTGGGTACAAGAACCAATCATCAACGCAAAAACTATTGTTCCCAGGCCGTGTTTCCAGACTATTTATCCTTATGACTATGCCTAGTGTTTTCTGAGACGTACATGACTCACTCGTGCAGTTTTGCTTTCTTTGTTTCTGGCTTCAATAGCACAGACAAAGAACTTATTGGAGGATACTTAAAATATATAATAAAATATTTATATATTCATTGTTCAAATTGAAAATGGTTATTATTAATCTAAAAATTATTATTCTGTAGTAGACTACTAGTACTAGGTTCTTTCAATCATTTATTAAAATTCTTTTTTTAATGTTTGCATGAAACAGAAGTTTTTTTTAACATAAACAGAACTGGTAAACTGTAGACAATAGTGGTTGGTTCCATGTTTAGGTAAAAACGGCAAAAGTTTTTTGACCACAAAAGTTGATTTTAACCACACATTCTGCGAGTGTGTGGTTAAAATCAACCAAAGAGTTGGAATACTCCATATTTCCTTCGAAACAATAAGTATTGGCAAACTTGCTCTACTATCAAAAGGAAGAAAAGAAATCATTAAACTTAAGTGCCAACGTTACCATATTATTCGTTTTTCTTTACTGAGAAAAGGTTAGGATACCGACTACCCCAAGAAAATTAAAGTAATTAATGGTTGTGCGGAGAGAGGGGTTACTTTAATTCAGATTTTCAACTCTTCGATAACAAAAGACCAAAAGCAAAAGCAATACCTCTTGCAGGTTGTCAGCACTCATCGGAAAGCCTTTTCAGAGCCATCAAAGCGTCTTTGGTGCAGGTTGGTGTGGTGTGGGGTCCCCTGCAATAGGCGCAGCAGGGGATGCGCCAGTGCTGCGTCTGTATCTTGGGGGTGGGGGGGTAGGTAATCCCTTTTTAGAGGAGAAGAAAACGGAAGAGTTTTTTCTATTTTCCTGTTTTTAATGAGTTGAATGGTTTATAAAAGATAATTCATTAAAAGTATGATGAGGAAAATTTTTAAGAATTTTAATTATTTGATCTTTTAAAAGAAGAAGAGTAAACAAATGGAAAGTTATTTGGCTCATGACTAGAATATAAGGGTTCGATTCCTTTCTCTTTATTTTTAAATTATATTGATTAAATAATTTTATTTTGATTATCGTCTTTGATATAGCCTACTTATCGTCTTTGATATAGCCTACTGCGTTTAAGGTTGTCTTAAAGTATCACCAGTAACAATTTTTATCACGAGTAACAATTCAATGCAGAAAATCTTTTCTTTTTTTAATTACGTGAGCAGCTAAAATGTCACTGTCGCTTTTTTGTTGCTGTTTCAAACATTTCCAGTTGTTTCAAGCGCTTAAAAATTATTAATTGATCAACTTCCAATGTTTCTGCAAGCTCTTTCTGTCGGGCATATATTTTTAAATTATCTTTAACATGTTTTTTTTTTCGGGCACCGCACCTATTTAACCAAAGTTGCAAACTCAGGTAATTTCCTCCAAATTACAATTGCAATTATTATTTTTTAATTACGAAAAAGAATGCAACGTTTAGGTATACAGTATTATAATATATTAAATTATTTAACAATAATTGCCTAATATCATATTTTAGTTTTTAATAAAGTTCAATTTAAAATTTTCTCAGTTTCAATAAATTATGGTTATTAAGTCTTTTATCTTTACCTTGTCTTAAGTGTCCCTTTAGAATTACATTGTATTACATGGCTCATTCTGTGCAAAAAGAATTGATACATGGGCATGACATAGTTCAAAGCCTTACATTACTCATAGGACATATGCCAAATGAAGCTTAAGAAGTTAGAAATAAAGACTTCAAATCTTATCGCAAAAATTTCAGTCGAAAAATATCCAGAAGAAAAACAAATACTGATCTGATCAGGAGACTCCTGCTTTCCAGTGATCCTGTTATTTCATGCTGTGTAAATCAACATCGCATTTAACAAATCATAAAAAATTTCTTTCAGATGATTTACTTAAACAATTTTCAAACGAATTTATTGTTCTATAAATTTTTTCAATTTAATTTAAAATTGACAACGCTTTCTTGAATTATTTTTTGTTTTCATTATTGCTAAAACATTAATTAACTAAATATTTATTAGTTATTTAAAATAAGTGGATCGAAACACAGATAAAATTTATTCAAAAAACAATTTACCCCTTTGTACTTTAGGAAATTATCTGGTAACTACGCAATATAAGTATCCATAGCAACAAAATTAACAAAGTTTTCAAATTTATAAGAGGCGTAATTCCATATTGGTACTCATGCCAAATTTAGTAAATATAGCACTCATAAAATGTGTGCAAATACCACAAATAGGTTGTTGCTGAGAAAAATGAAGGTTACCATAGCAACAAAATAAAAAAATAACACCTTTATAAGAAGCCCAGACATCATATTACTCATAGTACTCGTGTTAATTTTAGTGAATATAGCCTTAATATTAATTCAGTTATGAATTTTGCCCAGTAAAAGTGAGTTCTTGCCCGCTGTGTCTCGGTTTGTTCAGTGACTTGTCAAAAGCTTTTAAGATTTTTGTTCAATAATATTAAATTTTGATTGAGCAACCGTGGTGCAGTGGTTAGAGTTCTGGCTCAAAACTTCGAGGCCCGAGGTCCAACGCCGGCTCTAGCTCAATAGGCGATATTGGTAAGAAAGAAAGCGTGAACCTCCCAGTAAAATGCTTTTCCGCGGTGCTCTGTGATAAGACCGTAAAGGCGAGTTTCCACTCATCCGTTTTTCAACGGGAACAGGATAGGAAAGGAAAAAATAATCACGTGAGCATGCGTAATAAAAGTTTTTATTTGTCCGAAAGAAAACTGCGCATGCTCACGTGATTATTTTTCCGTTCCCTTTCTTTTTCCCGTAGAAAAACGGATACCTTAAGGATTTGCTGTAAAAATCGCTATTAATTCTGTACTAATTTTTACCGTATTTAATAAATAAGAGAAAAATTTAATACACTTTTAAAAACTTGGTAAAGTATTAGATAACATCAATAAAACGGATTTTATAAAATGCAAAATTTAATTGTTCGTAATATAGCTTTTTTTGCTTGCTTGTTACTCATTTTTTGAATTGTCTTCGTTTTTTTAAAATACGATTTTCTGTTATAAACGGTTTAAAAATTTGGAGAAATCCTTTTTTGATGTCTGATTGCTTTGAATAGTATATTATTGGGTTCATACAAGAATTGGCTTGCATTAAGAACACAGCACACAAATAAAAAATTTGATGAGCTTTTGTGTTATATTCCAAATTCGAAAGTTCTAAAATCATCCATATATTTAAAGGAAAAATGAATGCGAAATAGCAAGCGATTAGCAAAGTAACAGACTTTGCCACTCTTATACGATTTTTATAATTTCTCATGTTTTTTGTGTTAAATAAATGAACGGATAGCGTTGTTGAGTTGCTTATATTAGCCGTGTTTTTGTCAATGAGATAATCAATGTTTCCGTTGTGAAGCATAGAAAAATCGTTGACAACAATATTATTATTAGTTTTATTCTGAAGAAATTCGAACCGTTTAGTATAAACCTCTTTGGTTATTAGGTAATAAAAAGTTCCCAACGTAACTAAAGGAAACGAGCAAGTAGTAATACGTAAAACAACATACGTTGTCATATTAAAAATCTTGAAGACTGGTATCAATCCAGGGAAAAGCCAGCAAAACAAAATGATAAAAAAAGCTTTGTTTTCTGTCATATATTTGTTATAGTTGGTTAGCTTAGTAAGTAATAAGTATCTGTCGTAAGACACTGCTGCTAGTGTTAATAGCGAAGATCCAACAAGCAAAACTAGCAGATAACCACGAACAAAATGAGCTCTACAGTTTGATAACAAATCTATATCCAAGACTTGTATTATGGTAAAAGGGCCGAGTACCATTCCAACGCACAAGTCAGATATCGAAAGTGACAATAAAAAAAGGTTAGATATTTTTCTTTTCTTTAGGTTTTTGATAACACCTATTACAAATGCATTACAAAAAATTGTCGCTACAATTAAAATAGAAGAAAGAATTGCAAATATGTTTATATTTTGTAATTGAAATAATGTTGTACGCCAACAAATCATCTTGCATGAAACTTTTTTCTCATAAATATATTTTCTAAAAATAAAAAGAAAAAAAAAATAAAAAAAAATGCAAAACTAAAACAAAATTACATATAATACAAATTTACACAAATTACAATTACAAAATTACGCCACAAAAATAAAATAAACAACAAAATAAGCCTAATATAAAAATTTAAATACTAAAACAAAACTTAAACAAAATAATAAATATTCATATTAAAACTTGGTTATTACAAAATAAAATTATTCTATTTTACTTTCGTTTACGGATACTTAATTATTTTTACCATCTTTAATTTCATAAAAAAATCGAAACATAATTATTGTAAATAATTGGTTTATATGCAATATTCAGTCTTTTGAATGTCATAAAAACTAAGTCATTGTAAACATCTGCTGTGATGTTAATTACAACTTATAATTTACATAACATTGCTGTGGTAAAGATAAAAGACTTAATTATCATTATTTATTGAAACTGAGAAAATTTTAAATTGAACTTTAATAAAAACTATAAACTCTTTTAATACACTTAATACACTTTTTAAACATGTTAATGAACAATTTGATAAAGTTAATGAGTGGTTTGTAAGTAACAAACTTTCTCTGAATGCTGATAAAACTAAATTCATTTTGTTCCAAAAATTGAATAAAACTGATAACGTCTCATTAAAATAACCAAATCTTATTATAAATAAAGCTATAATTAAAAGAGAATCATCGGTAAACTTTTTAGGCGTTGAATTGGACAAAAATTTAAGATGGAATTTTCATATAAACAGCCTTGAAAAAAAAATTTCTAGAAATATCACTAAAAGTCATCATTAAAAGGTTTATACTTCGCTTTTATCCAAAGTTACCTAACATACTGTAATATCGCCAGGGCAAGTACCAATCATACAAAATTAAAAAAACTCTACAGTAAACAAAAACATGCATGTCGAATTATATTTAGAGAAAATAAAGCAGAACCCTTTTTATCCCAAAAAACACAGTAAAGACTCACATCTTTACTGTGTTTACTTGGAGCTTTAAATATTTATAAAATAAATTTACATGAAATTTTAGTTTTTATGAATAGAACTAAACTAGGAATGTCGCCAAAAATATTTGAATCCTATTTTAGCTATAAATTATTTTGCTGTATGTATATACATATGAAAAAAAAAAAAAATTACTTATATATTTTCTTTTGTTGAAATAAGTAATAATTATGTATGAAATAAGTAATAACTATGTATGAAATAAGTAATAATTTTGTATGAAATAAGTAATAATTATGTATGAAATATTTAAAACTAAACCGTTAGTATTGGTTACAGTAACTAACTTTATTTTATTTTTATTTTTTATTGATCTTGAAATAATATTAAAACTATAAATATCTATTTAGTTTCACATGATTTACTATATGTGTTATAAAACAATACTTTTAAGCCTTTATGTATTTTTTTTTTTTTTTTATCATTAACGTGATCATTGAATGATGGGTAAATTCATTGTTTCGGGACAAATACAAAGAAACTTCATTATTAATTTGTTTATTTCGTGAAAAGACAACTATGAATTATTACAACAACAGCTTTAACTTCTGTTTAATGATCAAGATTGCATTGTCAATACTATTAGTGTTTCATCTGTTGAAAGTATATGAGCAACCATTCCCACCATGGAATTATGCTTTAAAAGAGCTGATATAGCTTTAGAAATGATAGATCCGGAAACAACTAGTTTAATAGTTTCATGCATGATGTCATTGTCAATTTAATCTTAAGTTACAGCCATATAAAGAGAAATATAGTTATTTTTTGTTTTTCAATTATGTGCTGTATATGCCTCAAGAAAACGCTAGGTAGATTTGTAACAGCAAATCTATAAATACTTTTCCCAAATGTTTGAATCATTAAATAAATCTAACATTTACCGCTCACTCTTGAAATTAGAAAATACAGTTTCAATTTGTTTAGAATTTTCATTGTTACTTTATGAAATACGCAAAAAAAGAAGTTGTATCCTTAAATTTGAAAACTTTCTCTTTGAGTTTTAGTAATAAAATAAATACCTTCAATTTTAAACTGACCTTCGTAGCAAACAATTTTTGTTTTTCATTACACCATATATAAAAAAGTTTACCGCTCTTTACAAATTTTTCTTCGTCATAAATTTCTGGCAGTCCGAAAATTTCTAAAACATCTCTAACAATTTGCATTGCTTCAAAATGATTAATAAATAATCAATTTTTACATCTATATGTAGTTATTATATTTTTTAATGTGATTACCAGTTTTTTAATACTATGAAGATGAATTTTATTATTTATTATAAAGAATTTTCAGATGTCATCCATAATTTTCACATAATCCATAAAAATTATTATACTGTAAACTATGTTCTTTAGTTAGATATTCTAACGCATGGTTTTGATAATTTAATTTTTGCTTCAGCATTACCAAAATTAATTTCAGGAGATGAAAATGCTTTGTTCAGCAGCATTGGTGCTTGGTTAGAGTTCTGGGTCAGAACCAAGAGACTTGAGGTTTGAAGTCGGCTCAGGTCAATAACATTTGTAAGGACGGAGGTGTGAACTTGCTGACTTTTTCTTGAATCACCTAATAACTAAAAAAGTGCACTTTTTTAATACAGAAGCAAACTACTTACCGGAATTCCTTGTTTAATTTAATTTAGAAATTATAAAAAATTATAACTACATAACAAAAACTGATTTGTATTATTTATGAGCAAATTAAAGCACTTTTGCTTTTAATTTTCTGCGTTTTTAAACAATTTCAGTCAGCACGTTTGAAAAAAACTTCAAATATCAGACGGGTTTTTTTAAAGCAAAGAATAAATCACTTCAAATGAACAAAATTTTGAATAACTGTAGATTCTTACATTTAAGAATATTTTCACGAGTTTTTAAGGGAAATCCATGGGGAAGAAAACTTGCTTTAAGTAAGCGGGAACTTCTGACAAATGCCAATTAAATAAACCGAGAGTCTGCCCATTAGGCACGGGACCTAAAAAAAACGTCTTTTGATCGTTCCAAGACGTTGATAAAACATTTAAAACATCCAAATGACGTTTGAAAGATGTCTTTTTTTTACGTTCATGCTCTCCAGGTGCTGTATTTATATGACTGCCCAACTTTTCTTTCAGTAGCCATATTTTGTTTTGGAAAATTGGAGCCTTAATAACAGTTTTTTTTTTAGAGGAGGGGGGTGGGCTCTAACACACATACCACGGCACTGCCCAGTTGTATGCTGTTTTATGTTTGTCATTCGATGAATATAAAGCAAAATGTTTTCTTTCAATTTGTTTTGCTGCATGTATTTGAATGCCAAAAGATCATTTGGTTGTAAATAGAATCTGATTTTTCTAACTCTGAATGTAAATAAATTTAGTGATAAAAATGTTGGCATCTACCTAGTTTGATGACAGACTTTCAGGGCCATAGAGTATTGATATATAATACATTAATTTTTAAATTATTTAATTATTGCTGATGTATACAAAAGCTTTAAGTTGATAATATTAAGTTATATATTATATTTTCCAGGGGCGATTCTACAGAGGTGTGTATGAAGGGGGTAAATAGAGTGGAGTTGCGGTGAGTGGGTGTAATTTTCCCTCTCCTTCATAAAATGCAATTTTGTGAGGGGAGGGGTTAGATCTCATCTTTTTTCATTGCAATCTTTTAAGGACTAAGCATTTTTATGGATTCAACCTCTCATTTTATTCCTAGAATCGCCCCTGATAGTTTCATAATAACAACTTTTATGTTCTCAACAAAAATGTAGTTTAGTTCTTCTTTTGACGTCTATCACTTTTCGTACATTTGATTTTGAAACATGCTTTTGAATAAAATGAGCACATTGAACTTTTTAATTTACTTTTTTTTTTCAAAAAAACTTGAATTTTAGACTCTTTATTCGACATTACAAAGACTGATTGCCGTTAAAAAGTTTCAAAAAACTTACTAATAAAGAATTTGCAAAGGAAACTACCGAGAGTTGCACAATGTTATGGGTGTTTACAGACTACGCGGTGAAGGTAAGTATCCGATTATTAAATAGATTATTAGATAGAATTTTTTGTAGACGAATGAAAAAATCCATCCGTAACATTAAGTTTTAAAATGAAGTTTTATAACTTTTGAATCCATAAACGTTAACTTTCCTGAATTTAACGTTGATGAAAATATAGATCCGGATATAATTTTTTTCGACAATGTAGTTACAGATTGTTCATATCATTATCCAATTAGAAAAGTTTTTTTTTATGTTTATTACAAAAATTTAAACAAAATTAGAATTCTCCATGTAAAATATTCGAAAAAAATATTCGTTATAGTAAAAAAAAAATTTATTTTTATCCTTTTTTTTACGGTATTTGGAGATCGCATTTAAAAAAAAAAAAAAAATTCAATTCTATTTAACAGAAAATAAGAGTCCAAAAACAATATTTATATAACTTTTTAACTTTTATTAACAGGATTTGATTTTAATAAAAGTATATATATATATATATATATATATATATATATATATATATATATATATATATATATATATATATATATATATATATATATAAATATTCAAAATTATCAAAGAATCTTACAACTTAAATAGTTTTTGAAGGTAATTCAATCAAAAATCACACACTAAAAGAAATACACAAATTTTTGTCAAAAAATAGGAGTGGAGATTATTTTTTTGGTAATTAGATAAAATCTCTCTTAAAAAAAACAGATATGCTATTATTAAAATATTACCAAAAATTTATTTCTGCGTAGTAAATTTTGAAACAATCATTATTATGTAGACTTGATTCTAAAGGACATATTTTAAAAACATGTACGGTCTTTAGAGGCTTCCGTTTGCTTGTACGAAAACTTCTTGCATAACACACCCGACAGACTTTTCAAGGACGTTTCTCTTCGGTATTCTCCCAAGGCTATCTGGTAGCTGGAACGTACATTCTCGTTAGTCTATATAGAGTCTGGTAACAAGGTTTAGAGTCAGTTA